GGTGGTTAGAGAAATGGTAACTAAAGAGCTTAGGTACAGCGGGCGTGGACTAGTAAAGACTTGTAAATGAGTTGGTACCAGTGAGTTAAACGCTGAGTGTTAAACGTCAGCCAGCCGACTAATGCTTAAAAGTGGCAGCAGTGGGTATTGTATGGGGTACTGGTAACAAAGCGAATGACACCATTTTTTCAGGCGAGTTTGAGGCAGTTTAATCAAACATTGGTATAATATTCATCTTCACCAAGGCAAGTTAGTCTGCATGAGTGAAGGAGGCCCTGTTGCGGAACAGGAAACCGATTCTGGATTTAATTTGAGTTTGTTAATGTGCGGCTGGAAGGAGAGAGAGAGCTGTCTAACAAGACACCTAGATATTTGTATGAATCCACGTATTCTAATTCAGACCCATCTAGCGTGGCGATGCTAGTTAGACGGGCATGTGTGGGCAGCGATCGGCTGAAAAGCATGCACTTAGTTTTACCAGAATTTAGTAGTAAACTGAAGGTTTTGGAGGGAAACTCTCCTAGAGATTAGAAAGCACAGAATCTAAAGAAGGGCCGGGTGTTTACAGAATGGTATTATCTGCACAGAGATGGATCTGAGAAACCCCAACAGCCTGAGCCACGTTGTTAATGCAGAGAGAAAATAGGGTTGGCCCGAGAATCGAACCCTGTGGCACCCCCATGGAGACAGGCATGGCTCTCTGATTTGACACACTGGACTCTGTCAGAGGTAGTTAGAGAACCAGGCGAGGCTGTCAGAAGCCCAGGCTATTGAGTCGGCTAATTAGAACACAATGGTTCTTGTCTGTCACTCCTCCGGTCCTCAGTAAACTGACATAACCTGTCTGTCTCTCCTCTGGTCCGTATTAAACTGACATAACCTGTCTGTCTCTCCTCCGGTCCTCAGTAAACTGACATACCTGTCTGTCTCTCCTCCGGTCCGTATTAAACTGACATACCTGTCTGTCTCTCCTCCGGTCCGTATTAAACTGACATACCTGTCTGTCTCTCCTCCGGTCCGTATTAAACTGACATACCTGTCTGTCTCTCCTCCGGTCCGTATTAAACTGACATACCTGTCTGTCTCTCCTCCGGTCCGTATTAAAATGACATACCTGTCTGTCTCTCCTCCGGTCCGTATTAAAATGACATACCTGTCTGTCTCTCCTCCGGTCAATATTAAACTGACATACCTGTCTGTCTCTCCTCCGGTCCGTATTAAACTGACATACCTGTCTGTCTCTCCCCCGGTCCGTATTAAACTGACATACCTGTCTGTCTCTCCTCCGGTCCGTATTAAACTGACATACCTGTCTGTCTCTCCTCCGGTCCGTATTAAACTGACATACCTGTCTGTCTCTCCCCCGGTCCGTATTAAACTGACATACCTGTCTGTCTCTCCTCCGGTCCGTATTAAACTGACATACCTGTCTGTCTCTCCTCCGGTCCGTATTAAACTGACATACCTGTCTGTCTCTCCTCCGGTCCGTATTAAACTGACATACCTGTCTGTCTCTCCTCCGGTCCGTATTAAACTGACATACCTGTCTGTCTCTCCTCCGGTCCGTATTAAACTGACATACCTGTCTGTCTCTCCCCCGGTCCGTATTAAACTGACATACCTGTCTGTCTCTCCTCCGGTCCGTATTAAACTGACATACCTGTCTGTCTCTCCCCTAGGGCGGCTACTAGTCATTCCAGGCAACTCCCCAGTCGTCCGTTGGTTCTCTCAACCTGTTGTTCCAGACTTCCAGATGTTCTACTTATTTTTTTGTGACTCGATGGAACCAAACAGATAAAGACTCTTCCAGACCCCCCCCCATACCCATCAGACCCTCTGGTTTTTAACAGCCACCATCTACCCCCACCCCGTCTACATGTAGCCCCCCTTCCCTCTTTTACATGTAGCGCCTCATCTTGCTGTCGTTGTTGTTCCTCAGTGTCATTGTCTCCCAGTTCCCCTAAAACCCTATCAAGAGACCTGAGCACACACACACACACACACACATACACACAAACATCATACACACACACACACACACACATACACACACACACACACACACACACACACACAGCATATACACAAACTCACACATACACACAAACATCATACACACAAACGCACAGACAGACACACAGCATACACACAAACACACGCACAGACCGTCCGACACACACATATAAACACAGCATACACTCAAACACACAGACAGACAGACAGACAGAGACACTTAAACACAGCTTACACACACACACACACACGCACAGAGAGACACAGACAAGCGCAAAAACAAGTGGGGAAGATAAGAAAACTGTGATTGTTATTCAGGATGACAGAACCACAGATCACATTTGATTGTAGTTTGGATGTTTGTGTGTGAGTGTGTTTTTGTGAGCATGTGCAAGCATGCATGCGTGTGTGTGTGTGTTTATGTGTTTGTTAGACTTGTTAGGATGTAGGTCAGTTCGAGAATGTGCTGTTCATGTGATCCCCTGAAGAGTAATGTGCAATTAAGAGAGAGTGTGTACACTCAGTTTGGTATATGTGTGTGTGTGTGTGTGTGTGTTCACGTGTGTAACAGGGGCGTGCAATATGTCTTGACACGTGAGAAAGAAAGCAATATACACCAACTGTATGCGTGAGTGTGTGTTTGTGAGAGAGTGTGTGTGTGTGTGTGTGAGAAAAAGCTCCCGCCACAACAACTGAAGCGATCAATATATGCGACACACACTGCAGTGATTTAGCCAGGGCTTCATCAGGGTCAAGATCGTCGTGCCTATGTCCACAGGTAGGGTTAAAGCAAGATACTCAGAATGGTGTTTATCCACCAAACTAGAAATAATTAATAGAAAATATCTGGTTGTCATAGTTACATAGTCAGATTTAGACATTTGCAGAAGAGGAGCATCACGTAACGCAGGAAAAAAAATATTTTTAAATTCCCAAAAATAGTCCATGTTCTGCTGCTCCTTTGACCCCCTGCTGCCCTGTCACTCAGTGTGTCCCGCCCCTTCCTGTGTCAGCAAGTTACTAGAGACTAGAACATGTCCTGTGCTGGTACTGAGTATGTGTGTGTGTGTGTGTGTGTTTGTTCCCTATTCAGCAGATCAGTCCAGAATCAGTGTGTATACTATAGAGCAGGTATGGGTGTATTATTACTTTGAGGAAACTGACGACTGCATGTTGCCTTATCTAGCACTCTCATATTCACACATCACACACGCGCGCACACACACACACACACACACACACACAAACACTTACACGAAAACCCACAATCCATACACACAGTGCACTCACAAAGCACACAAACACAAATCCACTCTCACACGTTTGTGTTTAAGTTGCCGTTGCGGCGGACTTGCTGATTTTATAAAAAGTACCAGTGAATTAAAGATGTTTTTTGTTGAAATCCAACCTCCCGCGTGACGTTTTCATTTCTTTATTTCAGTTCTGACTTATCATTGGCCAGCTGGTTAACCCATTCTGTTACTAGAGGCCCATCCTGTTACTAGAGAAACAGGTCTGCTTCCTCTATCCAGGCAGGCAATGTGGTGGTAAAAAAAAACAGGTTAAACCATAAACTCCTGTAACCGTTTAAAGACAGATAGTGGATGTAAACAAAACATCGTACAGAGGGACGGTTAAGTGAGCAGGACTTCGTATTCATTGGCTGCCAACTCCCTTCCGTGCAAGGCATCTACCAAACGCAATGAGGAAGCACAGAATATGATATGAAGCTATCGACACCCAGGCTACGGTTTGATCACACCACTGCCGTCTGGTAGATGTTACAGGAGCATCGGAACACGTTCAACCAGAATCACGAACAGTATTTACACCCCAATCAACGTCCCAATCAAAAACATGAACCATCTGATCATATTGGTGTATAAACATTTCCATGCTCTGGTCACTTTCAATGCACATTATTAGTATACGTAATCGTATCCATTGATTTGCATTACTACTGTTATATTTATACTTATTTATAAACTTGCTACAATTGCTAGCTATTTTTTATTGTATGTATATTTTTTACATTGTTCTTTCTTCATATCTTCTTAAACGATTACTATGTAGATGTCAGATGCATCCATCCATTGATGACGCTATGTTATTAGGCGCTTTTTACAAATAAATGACTTTGACTTGACGTTGTTATTCACGCAGGCCCGTTAACAGTAACCAGCCATTCCTCCCAAATGAGTTCACTCAGGCTGGACACCAATTTGACAAAAACTCAAACTTAACTATTTTGTTTATTCTATTTGTTTGCTTGCTTCTCTTATCATATTGTATTTATCAATATTATTCAGATGTTTTAAAGGGTGAATTTGCCCGGCAATATAGCAACCGGTTGCAGATATTGTACATGTTGTGTGTACAATTGAGTCATTTCCCTGTCAAATTCATATTTTGCATACTTTGCCTCACTCATTCTTCTCCGCGCCCCACCTTGGCACTTCACCTCCTTTCATAGACAATTTGATCACATGATGCCGTCACACCCTCAATGCAGGTCTGTATGGATATACAGTGTCTATAAAAAGTCTACAACATTTCTCATGCCGCTGACTCAGAGCTTTGTGCATTTAATCTAGGATTATTAAAACAGCCATTAGACAGTAGATGAAGGATGAAAACTTCATAACTGGGTAATTTTTCACTCCCCTTGTCATTATCGTCCTCAATTAGCTCAGGTGTAACTTAACTCAGGTGTAACCACTTTGAAATGACAGACCATGCACTTATCTACAAGATGACACAGGTTTGACAGGTTTATCTAATGTTCCCTCACTTAATTGTAGGTAATCGCTTTGGCTAGTACTTGGGTCGGATCATGCAAAGTCAGATAGAAAATACACTGATCTGGAATGTATGTTACCACATTTAAGAAACTCACACGGTACTTACAAATTATTTTTGCACTTTATTGAAAGTGCAATTTACAAATAGCAATAAATCAGACAAATATATTTTCAACACACGGGTAGGAGTTGCTAGCTCAGTGGTGGAGTGTATGCTTCTTATGTATGATATCTTGGGTCCAATCCCCACGTTCCCCTCCTGGTTTGCCATTGATTTGCCATTTTTGTAAATATTTGATTATATAATTTCATGTGACAGCACTGAAGAAATGACACTTGCGACAATGTAAAGTAGTGAGTGTACAGCTTGTATATCAGTGTACATTTGCTGTCCCCTCAGAATAACTCAACACAGAGTCAGCCATTAATATCTAAACCGCTGGTTACAAACGTGAGTGCACCCCTAAGTGAAAATGTCCAAACTGGGCCCAGTGTAAATATTTTGTGTGGCCACCATTATTTTTCAGCACTGCCTTAACCCTGAGTTCACCAGGGCTTCACATGATGAACTGGAGTCCTCTTCCAAACCTCCATGACGACATCACAGAGCTGGTGGATGTTAGAGACCTTGTGCGCCTGATGTTTTGTGGTTTATTATTTGCTGTTTTTCATGTGCTGCCTTTTTGTTGTTTTGTGCCCCAGTTAATAAAATAAAGAAGCTAGTGTCTGTGTTCTCCTCTACCAGCACCGTGACATTCAGGATTGCCTAAAGATAGCAATTTATTTCTTAAATATCATCAGCCAGGGTAGTGTTTAAAGACACCTACATTGATAAATAAAATAATTGAGAGGCTGGTGTCCTGATTTATTAGTGCATGCCTGTACCAGATACACCAAATGTAATTTAGTCTGAAGAGAACTTGGGTAAATGTACAATTTTTTTTGTGAACCAGTGAAGGGATTGTAATGCTCTGCATGGTGTTCTCCTGGGAAACCCTGGACCATGATGATTTGACACGTGCCGTCAACATAAACATCGCTGGAGACCAGCTACACCCCTTCATGGCGATGGTGTTCCCTGATGTCAGTGGCCTTTATTGGCAGGATAATGCACCCTGCCACACTGCACGCATTGTTCAGTCTGATTGAGCATCTATGGGACACGCTTGACCAACAAGTCAGATCTAATGCACCAGCACCTCACAACTTACAGGACTAGATGTCTTGATGCCAGATACCACTGGACACTTCAGGGGTCTTGTAAAGCCAGGCCTCGGCTGTCGCCGCTGCTTTGGCGGCACACAGAGGACTAACGGCATACCAAACAGGTGGTCATGATGCGTTGGCTTATCAGTGGCTCATTGGCTCATCTGCGTGTTGGAAAGTAAAGGGTTACATACAAACACACACATTATAATCCTGCGCCAAAAGACATTTAAAAAAGGATTGGGGTGGTATGGAGGAAGGAGCCACTCCTGGGCGTGGTGAGTATTACTCACTCACACACACACACACACACGCAGCCAACACCCGTAAGGAATTCACACAAATCAAGTTTGAAAAATTTAGGTTAGACAGAGTTTTTTCTACATTCGCGTAGTCAGATCAGACAGAAATCCTGATTGGTCATCGGTCAACAACGGGTACGCTGGTTTGTCTGGGATCGTTCATATCACAACGTCAGATACAGTACCAACAATTTAATGGTCAGGTTATACCCAAAGTCAGACGTTTGCTGGTCTTACTAGCCAAGCCACCAAGCACCACAGTTTGGTCCTGGTTTTCCTTTTCATAGGGGGGGAGCAGTTTTGTATACATGACATTGGCATGACAGTCCGTTACCCCACAGGAGCTGAACATAATGCCACGCCCTGAATAATATTAGAGTTGAGCATGTTTCTAACCGATGGCTAAACTAAAATGTAACCTTTATTTAACCAGGTAGGCCTATTGAGAACTAAATCTATTCTCATTTGCAACGGCGACCTGGCCAGGATAAGGCGAGAAATGTGCAAGACAACATACATTTACACAATAAATACAAGATTTTAAGAAATGGGCTTGACAGGTGTTTTTGAGGTGTGTTCTTTCGCATGATTTGTACTGGCATAAGAGAGGTGTTAATTAATAAGATAGAGTCTTGACTCTAGGTTTTTCTATTTGCCTCTCGCTAATAGAGATTGTCACATGAGGACCAGAGAGGTGTCAATAAAACTCAGGGAAGGCGGATTTGTCAGTCGCTACCATTTACAGTAATAAAACCCCAGAGGCTCTAATGCAACACGAAAAGTGCAAACCACAAGCTTTAAAAACACGATGGGCAGGTTATACTAGCCAAAACAAACTACAGAGAACTGGAAGAAGGCATTGAGGAAAGACAAAAATGAACTTGTAGCATAGTAATGGAAGCAAGCAAATCTGATGTGTACCAAACCATATTGATTGCTAAAATACGATCAAATGTCTCCAAACTATTGCCCAAATATAAAACAGACAACCGAATAAGGTGGCTGAGGTAGAGGACTGGCAGAGCGTCACCAGAAAACATAACCATGTATCGGATTAACCCAGGGGTTCCAATGTGAAGGCTGCTGCATGCCAGCACTGCCCAGGTTTGGTGGGGTAACTAATAGAATATGGTCGCGTTGACCTTGTTCTGCTCTTGATTCCTTGTGGCGGCTCAGACGCCTGTGAGCTAAGTGAGGCAGAAGGCCAGATGTAGTGCATTTCTCTAGCTTTATAAGAAGCAAAGGCAAACCTGACAAAAAAACTGATGCATGTATTTCCTGCAGCAGAGGTAGTGTGTTTTACCTTGATGGTGGCAACAAGGTGGCATTTTGTAATAAATACTTTGGTATTAGTTTCAGCATTAACACATTATCAGTGATTTCCACACAGATAAGTGTATTTAATAGTGTGCAATATAGGCTAACGCAGTATGTTACTTAAAAATGCATTATATTATCTGTCATTGAGAAAACTGGACAAAATCATTAGTTTCTTGAAAATTACTCACATGGAAAAGCCTATAATTTGAAGAACAACAATAGACTGATGAGCTTTAGAACAACATTTTTGTTTCAGGGCATTTTGTGTCTGTAATCGAACCCACAAAAGCTAATGCCTCACAAACACTAACTAATCTTTAATCAGCGCCATTTTTCAGCGGTACCACTATAATAGCAAACAGGTTTTTTTTCGAAAGATTTTCTAGGGACAAAGAGCATTTTCAAATATTAAACAAATTCCCGATATAATTCCATAAAATGTTTTTGTTTATGCAAAAGAAAAAATGCTTTTCCAATAACACATGGTGTTTATTGTCACACTATGGATGAGTGAATAATTGTTCTGTGTCTGTGGGACCAATTCCAGGAACCTGTGTATCCTGATAGTGTTCAGGCCTCACCCTCTCTACACTAATTATGGTTCTGCCGCCGGGCTTTTATGTCTGACAACCGGATTCATACTGACATGAACAACAACAAAAGTAGAACCCAACCTTAGTGGGGTGTGTGTTAAACAGGGTGTGTGTGTGAGGATGTGCTGGGGGAGGTACTCTATACAGGCTTGTGATGTGGGGGGGGTTCCTTTCACCAACCTCATATAAACCCAACCACACACACACATAAGCAGTCACAGGCATCCTATTTTGTTCTATTCTACACACAGCAGAAGCAAGAAAATACGAGAGATGGACGTATTGAAAGGACAAGGGAAGCATGTAGATGCCGCCATTGACAAAGCAGGTGAGAATAAACATAAGCATTTGGCATAAACAGGATGATTTAATTAAGTAAAATTTGGCACACATTTGGGACACTGTGAAACGTCTAAAATGTCAACTATTCTTTTTTTGTCTAGCTACTGTGGTGAAGGACAAGGTGGGAACACTTATTGGAGACGCAAAGAAGGATGAGAAAGGTAATCCGTTAATTCACTGTTACTGTGCTAAGGCTGCGTTAACCAGAATTATCTGTTTAAATGTGTAAATGCAGTCTGATGTCTGTGTGTAATGTGTGTCTGATGTCTGTGTGTAATGTGTGTCTGATGTCTGTGTGTAATGTGTGTCTGATGTCTGTGTGTAATGTGTGTCTGATGTCTGTGTGTAATGTGTGTCTGATGTCTGTGTGTAATGTGTGTCTGCTGTCTCTGTATTATGTGTGTCTGATGTCTGTGTGTAATGTGTGTCTGCTGTCTCTGTATTATGTGTGTCTGATGTCTGTCTATAATGTGTGTCTGCTGTCTGTGTGTAATGTGTGTCTGCTGTCTCTGTATTATGTGTGTCTGATGTCTGTGTGTAATGTGTGTCTGCTGTCTGTGTGTAATGTGTGTCTGATGTCTGTGTGTAATGTATGTCTGATGTCTGTGTGTAATGTGTGTCTGATGTCTGTGTGTAATGTGTGTCTGCTGTCTGTGTGTAATGTGTGTCTGATGTCTGTGTGTAATGTGTGTCTGCTGTCTGTGTGTAATGTGTGTCTGCTGTCTCTGTATTATGTGTGTCTGATGTCTGTCTATAATGTGTGTCTGCTGTCTGTGTGTAATGTGTGTCTGATGTCTGTGTGTAATGTGTGTCTGCTGTCTGTGTGTAATGTGTGTCTGATGTTTGTGTGTCTGTGTGTAATGTGTGTCTGCTGTCTGTGGATAAGATGTCTGTCTATAATGTGTGTCTACTGTCTGTGTGTAATGCAGTCCCTGTCTGTGTGTAATGCAGTCTGATGTCTGTCTATAATGTGTGTCTGCTGTCTGTGTGTAATGCAGTCCCTGTCTGTGTGTAATGCAGTCTGATGTCTGTGTGTAATGTGTGTCTGATGTCTGTGTGTAATGTGTGTCTGATGTCTGTGTGTAATGTGTGTCTGATGTCTGTGTGTAATGCAGTCCCTGTCTGTGTGTAATGCAGTATGATGTCTGTGTGTAATGTGTGTCTGATGTCTGTGTGTAATGTGTGTCTGATGTCTGTGTGTAATGTGTGTCTGATGTCTGTGTGTAATGCAGTCTGATGTCTGTGTGTAATGTAATCTGATGTCTGTGTGTAATGTGTGTCTGATGTCTGTGTGTAATGTGTGTCTGATGTCTGTGTGTAATGCAGTCTGATGTCTGTGTGTAATGTGTGTCTGATGTCTGTGTGTAATGTGTGTCTGATGTCTGTGTGTAATGTAATCTGATGTCTGTGTGTAATGTAATCTGATGTCTGTGTGTAATGTGTGTCTGATGTCTGTGTGTAATGTGTGTCTGATGTCTGTGTGTAATGCAGTCTG